GTGTGCGTGTGGTCAAATGTGACATGACATTTCCAATCCTTATATAGAACTTTCTATATGTTGACGATACACGCCGCATCTGTAAGGATCACAGGTTTTAAGTCACAAGGTTTACTGTCAACTTTATGCAAATTAATCATTATGTGGACCTTGAACACATTAGTGGATGTAAGTCAAATTTGAATGGATTGTTAAGATGCTTCCACTCTACGCCCCTACAAGGTTCTATCAAAATTCACTCAAAACCTTTCGAGCCATCCTGTTTAAAGACAGAGTGACACACATGCAAAAGTTACCAAAAACATGACCTCCTTGGTGGAGGTGAAAATAATAGCTGATGACAACCAGACATCTTTTTTCTCTCTCTTTGTTGACTCTAACAAAGGTTTTCATTGGTGCAGGAACTCCTTAGGTCATTGTAAATCCTGAGGCAAGCTGAATTTATAGTTTGTCCAAAGTGTAAAAGTAATTTTCTAAGCGGAGCATTTTTAGGCAAACAAACTAATACAATCGTCTATTCTTGCCATTGTTATAAAGAGCTCCAAAGCAAGCTCATCCAACAGCTCTGAAGCTGCTGAGTAATGTTAGTCACACATCAGACTTGCACAGTGCAGACAGATTCTTGAAGCACTAAAACTAACTTTATTACCGACTGCGTTAGGCGTTGTTAGGAAAACGCCGCTGTGCAGAAATATAAATGCAGGTTCCTCGCTAGGTTTAACGACACCAACGCGCTGGTATTAAAACTTGCAAAACACCAACTGTCTAACTGGTTTTTTCCCCACAATCACAGTGAATGACGAATATCTGGGATTGAAATGAGTGATGCTTTCACAAGTTGAAAAGAAGAACTTATCACTGCAATCTTTTGGTATCACTTAATCTCACAACTGGTGAATGCATCACCAAAATCATATTTCATCATTTCACTTGTACTTTCAGTGGTAAGGGTAAAATCAAATCGAATCCGACAGTCCACAGATTAGAAGTTATTTTATTCTGTATTCAATATCATCTACTTTTTTAATATATGACATATCTACCATTGCTGTGGGGTCTAATGCCCCCTTCTGCAAGGAAAATAGATGCTTTAATATTTTAAACAAAGACAAATCCAGAGTCAACACAGACAAACATACAATTAACCGCTCAAAACAAAAAAAGAAGGCTTACAGAGTCTTCTGGAGGTCGCTGTATCTTGATCCACTCCACTGATGGTCCCTTCACCTGCAGAAATCTATGGAAGAGATTCTTGAAGCCCTCAAAGTCTTTCTTGGATACCTGAAAAACAAAGATGTTATCTTAAACTAAGGCTGAGGTTTGCAAAGTCAATATGAAGTGGTCTCTAGAAAGACATGAAAATGTTGAAAATCACTTCTGAAATGGCCTCAGTTATTTCAGAGTATTATCGCTTTGAGGGCAGAAGAGAAGCTGCACGCCTTGGAAAAATGGTTTGACTAAAACCACTATACTTAATTTTACAGGCATTTTACGGTTTCTTTAAATGGGGCTGGTGTCTTGAATTTAAAAACTTCCATTCATCAAAGTCATACTGGAAAGCTTTAAATTTAAAAGATGAGTTTGAGGATTCGCGATACAATATTGTAGACATCTGTATTGCAATTTCGGTCTCAGTTTCATGGATTGTTACACACATTAAGCAGTGTGCTTCAAAGGCCCCATACCTCTCATATAAAAAGGATCATTATTGTTCTATGCAAATTTATGGGTGTGAACTTCATTTAAAAACTGTTTATTTCTTTCCTGTGGGTGATTTAGCATATTCTTTAAGCACAACAGTATAGTGCAAAACTGCAGCAAAGGACCTTTTTATATTTCCACATTTGAAGCCTTAATCTGTATTTGTTTTAAACATATAGTTATTATATTTTTAACACAGACAAACAAAATAGCCAAGGTCCCGAAAAATATTTAAACACCCTTTTTTGTCCCGGATACACATTAATTGTTTTACTTGAAGGTTTGATACAATTTGTCTGGTCCACTGTGACTATATGAAATTTGTTTTGAACTTCTCTTCAGAAACCATTTTATACACGACTTTAACAGATGTGCACACAAACAGATGAAACAACATCTGGACATCAAATACAAGAATGATGTATTCATACATTCTAAACTTCACCAGCCAGTGGGAATAATAATAAAGTATATCTTATTTTAAAAAGTGAAATCTACAGTATAATTACTTCATGTCAGCCACACATAGCTGGTTGGATTTATTGAAATTAAATTGAAATTTTTGTTTGCTTTTACACAAAATATTTGGATTTGTACAGTCCAGACTTTGTCACATGCCATGTAGCTTTGTGTTTTTTCAGCTTTTAATTTAAAAAAAAGAAAAAGAAAAGGAAAAGTCCCATTTATGGGTGATGAAAAAAAGTCAAACACCCAATGTGGAGCAAATAACAGTTTAGGTGGCCGTCACTGTCTCGACTTTCACACTGGTATCCAATTACACTGGAGACCTTCAAAGTTCGATGAGTAACCCATTGTGTGTATGCGTGCACATGGCGTTTTACACGTATAAGTTACAGCAAGTACAAAAGCGATTCCTGTTAATATATTTGAAAGTGTGTGGGAATTACTGCTCACACCTGCATGTGACAGACTTCTCACCTCTTTACTCTGAGTGTTTTATTCCCTGTTTGCTTGCAGTTAAACAAGGTTTGGTTAATGCCTGAAAGAGTTTACTGCTAAACACTGCACTATTTATTTCCAGTTTTGTCCCAAGCTTTATGCTAGTTTAAAGCCAAAGAAATCTCACAGAGGAAAGACGAGTCTGTAGAGTGTTAATGTTGCCATTTTAATTTGGATTTTAGTCTTACGTTGGTGCTGTGGGCTGAAAAGAGCTCACTCAGGTTCATTTAGGGCTAATGAGAAAATCTGCCTGGTCTCTTAGGGCCTGCACCCCTCTGCTGACGTATCATGTCTGAATAAAACCAGACAAAAATGGGCGAATGTTGCTTAAGAAGTTTGGCTGCTAAAATGTTATGAGATATGTAGGTGGAACCCTTTTTGGCAGTGTGCTCCAGTATGTGTCACTTTTTGTGTTTTCCCAGCATTGTGACCCCACCACCCTCTGAATCACAACCAGATGGTCAGAGAGGGAGGGAGAAAGACAGCGAAGCAGACAGTTAGTGTACCTCTCGCTCAGCCCCTGTGGTGGTGTCCAGCAGCTTCTCCAGCTCATCGTGCATGGAGCTCTCCAGTTGCTGCCGCATCGTTTCCTGGAACTGAGCCATCCCTCCGTTAGCCACACCTTTACTCAGACCTAAACACGAAAGACGGTGAGATACGGAGTGAGACGGGAGACAGTTTTAACGTGTTTGATTCGTATCATACACTCAATCCTCAGAGTGAAACATTTCTCGATTTTTTGCTGATTTTATTCATTGTTTATTTTTGTGTGTGATAAAATTATATCTGATTACGCAACATAGAAACATAAATTCCTGTAAGGTTTTTCCTGGCTCAAAAACTTTAACCCACTTTAAAAAAATAAATAAATTTAAAAAAAAGGCTGAATATATTATATCAGTTCTTACCTCTTTTGTAGCCAGTTAAAAACCCCACCTTAATGTGCAGAAAAGATAAGTCCATCTAAAGCGGAACTGGCCAATCAAATCAAGAGGTTGAATGCCCTTCGCCCCGATTCTGTTTATAGTGTTTAATGGACAGAATTTCTACATGTAGCCAGACGGCTTCCTTTTTGGTAGTAGCTACAGTATGAAGATGTAAGCATGCAAGCACTGCATAGCACCCACAGACCACCAATGGGTGCTTGAGAAGCCCATTTTAAGGATATCGCCTCTCTCTGACATCATACAGATCCAACAGTAAAAGAAAAAAATAGTCTGAAGCGTTAAAGCACTTATAGCTTTTAACTCACTTGCACATAAACTAAGGTTTGTAAAGTTACATCTGAACAAATCACAAGACTTCTGGAATGATGTCCTTTCAGAGGATGATGCCAAAGTGGAAACGTCTGGACATAATGCGCAGCCCCACTTTTGCTAAAATGCTCAACTTGCCTCCATATAAACACCTCATACCAACTGCGAAGCACAGGGGGTGATGAATTGGGCTTGTTTCGCACCAAGGACCTCTATAGCACATGGACACCTTGTGTTCCTTGAATCGTCAATGAATACAACCAGACTGAAATGCTGGTTTTTTTAGCTTTTTTTTTTTTTTTTTACTTGCAGTCATTTTAGACCAAACGATTTTATCCTCAGTTTAATCAACAGCAGCCCTGATCTCAATGGAAACACCTGAGTGACTGATGTACAAAGAAGTAAACACAGGCTCTTGTACCATTATTGTAGCATGGGCACAGTCTTTGAGTCAACAGCCATCTGCGCCGTATGATAAAAGCAATGACATTTAAGAGGAGGGCTGTCATGCTTCTAGTTAGACTTGACGTAATAGGGTTGAGGTATACTTAAAGAGTCACTGTAGCACCCGTTATTCCAAGCAGCGACACCCTCGTGATTATGTTAGCTTGTGTCTAGCAATCTGTTCCATAGATAAGTAAACAATACTAAAAAACTAAACCTTGGACTGTGAGAGGTATTTGAGAGTCTCAAGCAGAGTTTTAATGTAACTTCCTTCCAGGAAAAAAATGACAGCTAGGTAATTACATCTAAAGTTACAGCAGATCACTGTAATTCAGAAAAGGAAAATATAGCTTTAAGATAGTTATGAAAACAGTTTTTTAACAGTAACATGCCCAACACAGGTTCTATGCTGTTGGTATCTTAAATCAACTTAATCTATGGCTAATTTATCTCTAAAATAGCAGTTTATGTTGTTTATGTTAAGAAATGATTATCAAATATCAGTCCATCTGTTAACATTGAGCACAAGGTAAACAATAGCTCTGCATGTGCCAATAAAACCATTAAACATTGACCAGTTAAAAAGCTTTGATTAAATAAAAAAAGACAAGGCAATTATACCTGCTAGCACAGCAATTTTCACCCTAATTGTTGTTATGGTCCATTAGTAAAAGCAGTTAAACATGTTCACTGCTTGTTAAGCAAAATGTGACACACATTGTCAAAAAAGGTAAATATGACAATAGAAACTCACTTTTCCACAAACCAAAAGCAAGAATAAAAATCTGAAGTTATTAAAAAACCTACATGAACTGTAGCTGAAATATAATGAATGGCAATGACAAAAATAATAATATTCACTGAGAACGCCTTGATAGTACCATTTATTGTTATTACTTAAAAAATGAAAAGCATACGAGTATATAAAGACGTTAGAAATCATTAACCTGCTGTGAGATATAGCTTATTAATTCCTGATATCCTGCCTTTCAGACTTTTTATTGCCAATTTCCCAAGTAGCACTGCAACTAACCTTAAGTGACCTTACAACACAACAATCAACAGCTCCTGGCACAGAGACAAATATGACTACAGGAAACTGAACTTTGAAGCCAAATGGCAAATACCACGACATACTGTAATAGCAGACAGTAGCAAAGGGAAACAGTTTAACACCATTTAAAGATTTACGAAATCAGGTGTCAGTGTTACTGTGGACAAAATTACTCTCACTTTTCATGGGAAGTATTGCAGCATTAACCAACCAGTTAATTATAGCATTTTAGAAGCAGAAACTTATGTAAACTATCACAATGAGGTGTTTGAGTCACCACATGTCAGCAGAACAATGATACCAATGATGAAAAAAAAAAATCCCAACTGTGTTTATAACTGCTATAAAGCAGTTCAAGGTTGTGTGTTCATGTTAAGGAGGAATTGAATGAAACCAGTGAGTAAACTAGAAAACCGTGAGCAGACTGTCTCCCAAGAAGACCTTGCTTACAGACAGATTACTGGTAATCTACTAAAGATTATGTAAAGAAGACTCGTAAGGTCTCATTTTTCACATGAAGGCATCAGTTAACAATTACTCACAGTTATTAATGCATTCGTTTATTGACTTAAACATACATTTATCACACTATTGCTTATTTTATCACAGTGGGGCTACTTATTTAATATGATTACTAAAAGGTTTAGGAATAATAGTAGATTTATGAAATTTAAAAAAAAAACAACTTTTCTTATTGGTCAAATGAATGATGGTAAACTCAACTAAACCTGTAACAGTCTGGCAAAAAGTGGGTTTTTATTTATTTTTTTAATAATCAGTGATTAAAATTAAAATGTGATAAATCACACTTTCTCATATGCGGGGGAAAGTTAAAGTTGATGTAAATAATGTTCTGAAATGAACAGGAAAAAACACATAGATCGTTTAAAAAATAAACATAATCCTTTAAGCCTCCCTCTCCTAGAGTGACAATTTTAGTAAAATAGAGATCACTTACCTTCGACATAAAGTGCCATGGTTAAGCTGCCAAGTAGTGTTTAAAATAATAGTGGACACGCTTTAAGTTTTGTATCCCAGAAAAAACAAGATGTCATTGAGCAAACATCCGGTGAATGGATTTAAAAATATATATAATAATAATATTAAAAGTTTCCTTGAGGTGTCCTTAAATCATCCGACTGGTCATTCTTTCATTGGTGCCCAAGCCTTTTAAATCGATCCAGCGTTGAAGCTTTAAAGGATAAGACGCTGTGCCTGCGAGTAAAACAAGGACACATTCATCCGACCACACTTATCTCTCTGGACACCAGCCAAGTGGTCCTCCCTTCAACGTGAAGTTGGATCCGATGTACCCAGCTCTTTTACTGCTCGTACCGCCCGTATTTCTCCCCCTGCCCCAACCCTGCAACCACGTCACAAATCCTTACTGTGTCTCACAACCTCTGGACACTTCTTTCCCCCAGCGCCTCACCCCCTCCCCCTCGAGTGCTTTCATTTTTATCACCTTATGGCTGCCACAGGGATTTTTAAAGTCAACTAACACACACGCCGTCAATAATTAACCGGCGAGATGTGCAAAGACACACCCGGGCACACAGGTACAGTCACGCTGTCTGTATGACCTGCTGCCTGCGGAAATGAATTAGTGACTGAGTGATGTACAGACAGAGATGAACGCTATGCCCTCCACAAACAAGCCACACGCAAGGAGACAACTATAATCAACAACGGTGCCGTGAACGTAACACTGGAGGAGGAAGAGGAACGACCTTTTTCAGCTGAAAAATGTCAAAAAGAAAACCCGGACATAGCGCCTCAACACCAGCCGTGTGTGGAGTCCTACCGATGCTAATGTAGAGAGAGAAACACGTCATACACACACATTTGAAGCCATTTTCTTACTGTAGAATACTGGCGGAAGAAAAGTCGATGGGGTCGGCCTGGTCCTGCAGGTCTGGAGGACCACAGAGATCCAGCAGAGGAGACAGCGGGGTACCCAAAAATATGTATGTGTTTTATTTACACCTTAATTCAAGCCGCTTCTGCTGCCCTTCGACATCGCTGAATGGGTGTTAAAAAAGCACAGGACGTACAAAAAAGGTGCAGAAGTTAAAAAGGTGATCGGATAGTTTTTGAAGATATTTTACACTCCAGTGCCATTCTAGGCAACGACGAATCGGAACGCCGAGGGAGGATGGGAGCCAATGACAAATGCTGTTTTTGTGTGCGTGGTTTTAACAGCCAATAGGATTCTGCTACGTGCGATGTTGGTTTCTGGCAATGTCTGATTGAAGATAGCTCAAAATTAGGGCTGTTCGATATAACGATATAAAAACGTCTATCGTTTAATTTTGCGCTATCGTTTATTTCGTGGTGTCGCAAAATAAACTGTTTACGGCAATATGTTTTCATCGTTTTGATGGTCACTGTAGTGGCTATATTAATTTATTAAAGTTCTCTCTTTCTCTTATATTTAATATAACCACAGTACGGACGGACAAGCGCCTGTATTTATGTGTTGACGTTAGCAACAACGACGGTAAAACCATCGCGTCACGTGTCGGATTGTTTATTTTTCACGTAAACCTTTCACAATAAAGCTCAATATCCCGTTGAGACTTTTCAAAATAAACTGAATCACGTGAAAGACTATGCAGAGTATTTTCGGATGAGAAGCAAAAAAAGAGCCGCCAGGTGCTAAAAAGTAAACCTTAGACGTTAGAACAGGCTTTTCCTCGCAGCACGCTGTGTAATAATAGAAAATATTGAAATAAGTGATATCAAGAAAAAGAAGTAACGTGTTCACATTGACATGTGTGACATCTATGAAACACCTGCGAATGATTTTTTTTTTCGTGTAAATTTAATGTAAAGATTAAAACGAGTACTGTAACTGGGATTTCCAAAATGAAACTGTTGATATGGGAGTGGTGACTGTTTTTGGTAGATTTGCCCCATTTAACGCTTATCCTCAGTGAACCAGCTGTGAATTTATTAATTGCAGATGTTACATAACTCTTCATACTGTAACTGAGTAAAAAATAAAACAGGAAATGCTGCCCCTGCCTGGTGAAACTGTGTCATTTCACTGTAAGTGAATCACTACTTTAGAGAATCAGAATCAGAATGGGGTTTATTGCCAGATTGTTTACTTACTGTCCCCCCCAAGTACCTGCTTTACCTGGGCTGCACACTGCAAGCAACAAGGTATAATCTCTGTAATAGAATAATGGTTGCATAAAGCCACATATCAAGTCTTAATAAGTTAACTTTATATTTTATCAGGACCCCATCTGTCCTGACTCCATCACAATCAGGTTGTGCCTATAGGAAATCAGAAAACTACTGAAGTCCAAACAGAGCTTTCAAAAATACCTCAAATTACTCACTATGCAAAATAGCACATAATAAAAATATGCATGCATAACTAATGTTAGTACACCATTTAAATGTTGCAATAGGACCCAATTTTAGTTACTTTATATACATACATAATATGTTAAATATACTACACAACTACAGATCACAAACTAATCGAGCATTTGCATCAAATTATCCTTAAACAGAATTGAGTCATTGAGGCCCATCTGGTAACCTAGGGGATTCAAACAGCCTATTGTGAGTGCTTTAAAAGGTTGTGTGTGTCACACACACACACACACACACACACACACACACACTGGCTGAGGTTTACCAACTCAAGGCTTGTATTGCCAAAACCTGGAAAAAAATGACAGCATCCATGTATGGAAATCAATAATCAGACAACTTATTGTTTTTTCTATTAATTTATTTATTTTTAATTGTCTCAGCATTAATATTCCAGTGTTTTAGGACTTCACTAGCTGTAAAAAAGGATCCATGTAATAATCAATAAAGGGAAAAAAAAACAATGGAGAGAGCTTTAACTAGTAGTGGAGTTTCAGTGTACTGTATACTTATGGTGAGTGATACTTGTGCATCATGACGTACAACAACTGCTTTTGACTTAAACTTACCCAGTCATATGTAGTCAAAAGTATGACACATTTTTGTGATCTTGAATAACAATAACAATCAGATTCACATCGTTTGACATACAAATGCAACTTTACACCCATAAGCACCAACTCGCTCACACACAAGCACACAGTAATGGAGGGGCTGGTGGAGTGCTTCATCACAGGCGTGCATCTGGAGTTTTGAGGCTGTCTAAGTGCTGCTGTGCAGGCTCTAGTCATACTCCAAGGAAAGTCACAGCTGTGTCCCTCTCCTCCACCAGTTCAGCTGCAGTGGCATCCATCTTTGATTTGGAAAAATCATTGATTGCCAGACTGTCCACGATTTTCCAGGTCTTGTTCTGAAAAAAGAAAAAAAAAAAAAAAAAAAGTACCTTCAGTTTTGTTCTTTGATCTATAATGTTTCTAGAAATCCCCAAAATTTTATTTAATGCAAACTTTAATTTAAAAAGAAACAAACAAAACAAAATCAAAACAACAAAAACCCTATTCAATATAAAATCCACATCCAAAAAAAGACAATGGAGGGTAATGCTAGTCTTAAGCTGCACTGAAAAGATGATGCTAGCTGCTAGAAGAATGGAGACAAAGTGAGATCGAGGCTTACCTGGATCTGGACAGGGAATGAGTAGATTAGGTCTTCAGGGACTCCATAGGAGTTGCCAGTTGAGTAAACACCCATAGAGGTAAACTCACCCTTAAAAAGGAAAAAAACCTCATTAAAAGTGAATTTAAAATAAAATGCAGCCTTTCCAAATACTTTGCATCACTGACAATAGAACCATATGTAACCTGTCAGAAATCTGAAGCCGTTTTCACACCCGCAGCATTTAGTCCATTTAAATCAAACTCTGGTTTGTTTACCCCTGTGGTGAGGTTCATGTGTGTTGGTTAAAACACAGTAATGGCACTCAGGTGTGGACCAAAACAACTGCACCACAACCTTTTGGAGGAAGTGGTCTTGATACGGTTCCAAGTGAACTCCAGAGCAGTTAGTTTATGGTGTGAACCTGAGCTGACCACGACAAAAAACAAACAACGACTACTTGTTTGTCCAAGTTTGAGCTTTTTTTTTTTTTTTTTT